ATAATCCTTTTTAAATATTCGGGCATTATTATCTTTCTTTTCATTTCTAAAAATATATGGATGTATTTGTACAATCAATAGTTTATAGTATATTAAAATTTATTCAGTACTGTCACTTTCATTGAATGTTTTATGTTCTTCAGGTACTCTACTTTAATCTCTTATGGTATACATCGCAATTTTCTCAGTTTTTTCACTTCTTTAATTATGCTTAAAAATATACTGAAACTGACATTCTGATTTATAGACTATACTGTCACTTTCATTGAATGTTTTATGTTCTTCAGGTACTCCACTTTAAGCTCTTATGGTATATATCGCAATTTTCTCAGTTTTTTCAATTCTTTAATTATGCTTAAAAATATACTGAAACTGACATTCCGATTTATAGTTTATATACCATTCAACTTGGCGTGTGGATAATTATTTTAGATATATATTTTTTGACAAAATATTATTTAGGAGAAACAAAAATTAGACTTCGAAAATTAATTAAAATTTTAGTCTAAAATGGAAAAAATTTTATATTAAAATCTTTTGTGATATTGTAAAGTTTTGTTGTTATTTCACTCTGGCATTCTGTTGACAATGAAAGTGACATTGATGTTTATATTGTTGGTAATGATGATGGTGACGCTGATTGTGATGGCACTGTGGTTGCTGAGGATGTCATACCGTTCTGCAGCAACTGATAAATGTCAACTCACAGTATTTTAGTGAAAACAAAGAGGACACTCTTTCGAAGCAACTCTTTAGAAGTTGCGGAAGTGTGTAAAAATGCTTTGGATGAAACATGTTGCAACATCCATTATAAGTGGCATGCAAGGCTGCATATTGTTTCAGAACTTTCAGCACTTGTTTACTGTTACGCCTTTAAAAAGGCAACACAAAACCTGCATTATATAATTAAGAGCCGCACTTAACTCATTACTGCTGCGATGATGATTTTTAAAAAATGTACAACTCACAGCGTGTGCTTTCCCTTTTTGTGTTTGGCACTCCAAACTGTTTGTTTTGTGGTAAAGTGAATTTTTCTTATTTATTATTTTTTTGCTATCATATGAAATTTTTATGTCATTTGTATGTATGTATAACAGTGACATTATGCAAAATAGCAGTCACGAGCAACCTTCAAATTGACTTGCATGTATACAAGCACTTCCTATGTTTTTCCACTGCTCTATCCTCGGATAGAATGTGCATTCTGAGTTTCATAAATGTAGGAACATTCATTTATGTATGTTAACGAACTCATTATGCTGGTAGCTAAACAAGCACATAAATGAGTTATTCCTATTAAGAACATCATAATTAGTACAACAAAAATAATTTAAGCTAGAAAATACAAAATATGCCAGAATAATGCAAAGATTTTTAGCTTTCATACTCCATAGACAGGCTCGAGTTTACACTTTGCTCCTTCAATGGAACTGAAGTGCAGAAATCAGTAGTTTGACTTAATGTCGCTTTGCTGCTGTCTAAGCAACAGTGACAACAATGGCTTAGTGTTGCTCTTGTTATTCTACAATTTCGAGGAATAATCACAGCTGCTGCGTTTGTTGACATAAAGGATTAAATCATAAGTTTATAATTTTTGAAGTCTTTTCGTCATGTGTCGTCTAAACAAATGAGCAAAGTCTAGAATTAATGAGGCAAAAGTAAGTGCTTGCAACACACTAACATAAAGTTTAGAATAAAAATTTATGAATAAACAGAATTTCAACAGATACGCAGTAGATTTTCTCATTATCTTCACAATTAAAGACATTGAAGAGAATTCCATAACATGTGAAAGTTACTCCACTTATATGTACATCCGAAATGTTTCTAAATGCATTTAATGAAGTGGAACTAACTAAAATTTTTTAACTGATCTTAGAATAAAATTCAATCCAATTATCAGTTGATACTATACTCAGAAGTTATCGGTTCCTTTCTACGACAGAAATTAATAAATTTTTTTGCTAATGTGATATCAGCAAACTCATGGTTTTATATGTATTAACACAATACACCTTTTTATCAAACAATTTGTTATGGATACGCATTTTAAGTATGTAGTTTGACATATCTAGCGTAAATAATCTGTAAAAGAATATCCATACTTTTCTTAATTGTAGAACTTGGCATTCAAGAAAGCAGAAAAGTATCGACCTACCGTTCAAAATATCGATGTGATAATTAGACTCGGGTCGTGTTCGATAGAAGCTTAACAATTCCAGCAAAACTTTCAATCCAGGTCATTCGTATATTAAGTGTTGTTTATTTCGATTGATAAATTTAAGTTTTCTATAACAAGCAAAAGTGTATATATTCTGTCCCAAAAGTATAGGAAATTTCTGATTTACATCTATTCGGGTAAAAGTATTGAAAACATTGCTGGGAACGAGTACACTACCAAAATAGCGAGACTTGAAGTCTCTAAAATACAACTTTTCTTTTCAATTCCTGTTTCTGTCAGTCACTGATAAAGACTAATTTGCAATCACTTTTTCGGATAGAACAACGGGAATTGATCTAACTTCGCTTAAACAGAGCTAAGGCTGACGTGAAATACAAACTCGAAATTTATAACCTCAGACTTAATCAAGGGGCACAAGATAGAAGTGTTTAAAATATAATTAGGGCTCATGACATAAGTGCTTTAAGGGGACATGAAGCCAGGCTGACTCTGTCCTATTGTAACTGTTATAGATTGAGTACGTTGGCGACCAAATAAGAGACAACAGAACAACTGTCGTGCTACTATCCAAACTTTATCAGATCATGGATAAAGTATATGTGTACGTTATTTTTAAATTTATTTCACAACATTTCCCACATTAGCAAAGAGCAAAATACTTTCAATAATTAATGCTTTTCGATAATTGTATAACAAATAACATCCCTTCTCGGCATCCGCCCACCTCGCTTTCCTACTAATTTAAACAACATATTTCTACCTCAGATATCTACGAAATATTTGATGAACTATTAAAGTATCCTTGAAATTCTACTGAAATCTTAACTTTCGTGAACAGAGGCAACATATTCAACTTACAAGTGAAAAGTCTCCAATCTCTAACATCACTATAACTGAATATAAACAATTTGTGTAATGTACAAGGATATCACTAATACAATTTTATATAAGCATGTCACTAGCACATGTGCAAGTAAAAAATTTAACTTTAAAATAAGAACAACTGAAATATTATACATAAAAAAATCAATTTTAAAATAAAAATATATTTTGAAAACAGAATTCGTAGTAAGGAAAATGTATATCAGCACAGAACTTGATTACTTTAGCCTTCAGGACATTTCTGATGTACTAGACAAAATGTCAGCGGCAAATTTGGCTCTGCCAGAGCACAAAGCTACTTATTTATACATGTTTACTCTATATCTTTTTATGTGAGCAGGCATCATCCGGTAAAAATGCATAGAAACTCTTTTATATAATGTGATATGATAAACCGAAATTTAGTTTTAAAAATTAAAAAATACTTTTTTGGATATTTCGAAATCTTTTGATTCACTATAAATCATAATAAACACATAAAATCAAACATTTTATTTGTTTTTTTATACTATAATTAGACATTTTTGTTATTTAACTAACAATAACAATGAAAAATAATTATTCCTCAAAACAATTTAACTAGATACATAAGATGGATGTCCTCAAACTTACTTAAGCGTAAAGATATTTACTATATAACATAAAAGACAAATCAATGAATCACTTGCATTGCATGAATCCATATCTAGGAGTA